ACCTCCTACTATTGCTATATGTAACATCTCCTTCTTACGGAGATTCAATTTAACCTTGTTTTGTCCCATCCAGTCCTTCCAAAACTCCATACCATGAAAAAGGACTTCTATGGTGTCTCTAATATAGTGTGGAACCAGGATGTATAATTGAGCATTATTAATATTCTGATGATTCTTTTACCAAACTAATTGAAAAGTATTTCCAGCTGCTTTCGCAGAAATGATAAATAACATGAAGGGAAAGAGCTGATCTCTTCTTGCCAACCAAACTGAAATAAATTCAGCTTCTTCAGTTTTCATTCTTCCATGACCACCAACTATAACTCTTTACTGAAGAAAGAATAGAGCTATTGTAATATAGTGTCCTTAATCACCAATCCTTGGAGTGGATTCAGAAGATCAACAGTAAGGCCTATCAAGGAGACTTGTGCAAATCTTGTACTTTGGATTGCAAGGGATTATTTGTGAAAGAGTTCTAGGTGCATGTGCTGGCAGAGACAGTTGGGAATGCTTTCCACATCTGTGACAAGTCTACGTCCTCTTTTGAAGCATGACAACTTGCGTTACAAAGTCCAATGACTTTAACTGATCTCTCTCTTTTTCTTAGAAGCAGGGATTATGTACAACAGATGTCCCCCATTATTATTTCTCCACAACAGACTGAAGATCACATTGTGGCCTCATGTGTCACAGTGTCAAAAGCAATCTTTTTCACCTTAGCATCAGAATATCAGAAGGTCTGAGATACCTCCAGGTTGTTTATTAAAAATAATTGTATCCCATGAATGCTATAAATAAAATCCAAAACCTCCATTTTGTTTGGTGGTTTAAGATCAGAAGAGTCCACAAGTTCTTGTGGTTTTTGTCAGAATTGCAACCATGGAATCGTGCCACCAGCTCTGCCACTTTTTATACTGTATGTGTGGGATGTCACAGCATGTGCAAAAACAAACAAACACCAGGACTTGTCCTATGTCATTGCAATACTTTCATCACCCTGATTCACTTTGATCTTTCAAATGTCTCTACTTCTGGTTTATCTAACTGTAAACACCCAGAGTCACATGAAGCATTGGCAAGGGATGTTTCAGATGCTAATGGTCCATATATAGCATCAATATGAACAGAGCCTTCTTTGTTAAAGCACTGAAGTAAATTCAATCTTTCAAAGGCTGATGCAGTTGCATTAAAGGTTATCTACACACATATGGAGACTCCTATGTTCCCTCTAGAACGTCCTGCCTTCCTGGGTGATGTCTGCCCCTACCCTCCTGTCCTGCAAGAGTTTCAAGACCAAACTCTCCTGTTTGGGCTGTGGTACCAATGGGGGAGTGTTATGTCCCTGGAACTCTAGGAGTTCCCACTCAGGTCCATTCACATTGCGGGGGCGGTTTTCCCCCTCGCTCATTGGTTGGTTCTCCCCAGCAGCCAGCTATAAAAGCAGGCTGCGGGGTCCAACCAGTTGCTGATCGCTGCGAGCCAGTTCCAGGCTTGGCAAGCACGGTCAGTCCTTTATTGTTATAATAAAGTATTTGTTGCACTCATGCTCTGGTTCAGCCTCTCATTACCCAAACTTAACACTGGCGACGAGGATGGGATGGCTACCAGAAGCACAATGCAACCGCTGAATCACTAGCCACCGATCCGCAGCCAGAGAGAATGATCGGCCGGCGATAAGAGCAACGCTGATCCACAGCCAGAGAGAGCGGTCAGCAAGCAACGAGAGCGAACGCTGATCCGCCGCCAGAGAAAGCGGTCAGCAAGCAACGAGAAGCGAACGCTGATCCACAGCCAGAGAAAGCGGTCAGCCAGCAACGAAAGTGAGAAGCGTCTGTAGCCGCTTGTTAGCCTAGCTACAGGAAAAGTGAAGCGCTGCGAGCCGCAGCCGCTCGTTTCTTTAGGCGCGAAATTCAAATGGCTGTCATTTGAATTTCAAACCTAAAAAGTACAGCGCGGTGCTGTAAGTCAAGTCACTGACGCCCACGCAGGCGCGAATTTCAAAACGCTGCCAACGGCCGGCAGCCTAACCTCGTGTTTAGCCCAGAGAGAGAGAGAGGATTGTGAAAAAGCCTCTCCAGAGCTGAAATCACTTGCCTGCCACAGGCACTAGAAACCTTCTGCTGCTGCCCCAGAGAGATTTTTCCACAGATTGTATAACCAATTTCCTCACTATGAATTCCAATCCAGTCTTCCCAGCATTCAAACCGGATGAGGAGAAGTGGGAGTCATACAAGAACCGCTTTAACCATTACATCGACGCAATTGGGCTGGCTGATGCAGGGGAGCACCGGAAAAAATCATATTTCCTAATCTACTGTGGAGCCATCGTCTTTGACACTGCCACAGCACTCGTGGCTCCACGTGAGTTAAAAAACGTTCCATGGTCTGAACTGTTAGAAATCCTTACTAACCACTATTCTCCCAGACCTTCACAGATTGCCAGGCGATTCACCTTCCGTATGAGGAAGCAATCAGACAAAGAGACCATCAACCAGTACATGGCCGCCCTCAGGACCGCAGCACTCCATTGTGGGTTTGGAACCTACCTGGAGGACATGCTCCTCGATCAACTAGTCTGTGGGGTCAAGGATCTCCACCTCCAAAGGTGCCTACTCGCTAAGAAGGACCTCAACCTCGCACAAGCCGTCGAGGAGGCCCTGGCAGCAGAACTGGCAGCACACTCAGCCACCGAAATCCATGGTCCAACTTCCAAGCTAACGACAGTTCCAGTCCACTCCGAGGAGGTGGTAGTAGAGGAAGCCCCTAGTGATGAAACCGACATCCACCGCCTCACCAACGCCAGCATCCGCAGGTAGGAGCCAAGCAAGAAAGCATCAGTCCACCCAAGCACATCACCCTGTGCCTATCCTGTGGTGGATCTCATCCGAGGGCCGCCTGCAAATTCAAAGGAGCCACCAGCAACATCTGCCACAAAAGGGGGCACATCGCGAGAGTCTGTCAAGCCTCTCAAAACTCGGCACAAAGGCACCCTTCCTTCTCACATTCTGGACCTCAGAGGCAAGTATTGAACTGTCGCACTCACCACCATGCCAAGCACACTTGCCATACCATTAGTAAAATCTCTCTCTCGTTTTGTTAGAAGGTAAACCGTGTCGCATGGAGGTTGACACAGGGTCAGCGCTCTCAATTATCTTGTGGAGCACCCTCAAGAGGCTACAGCCCAGTCTATCAACAAGCCGGCTCCAGAAGTGCCAGTTTAGCCTGAAGGACTACCAGGGGAAGGTCATTCCTGTAATTGGCAGAGGCAAGTTCCTTGTCAATTTTAGAGCTTTCAAAGGTCACCTACCTCTAGTGGTAGTTAACGGCAATCTCCCCACACTCTTGGGGCTCGATTGGTTTCCCCATCTCGGCCTAGGGCTAACAGGAGTCCATGCTGTCTCAACCTCTGACACTGACTCCTTATTCGCTGATTACTCAGATGTATTCAGCGATGAGCTGGGGTGTTATAACGGTACCCCTATCTCATTCTCAGTCGACCCCCAGGCAGTCCCAATCAGGCTAAAACCGCGTAGAGTCCCATTCGCTATTCGGCCAAAACTAGATGCAGAATTGGATAAATTATTAAAACAAGGGGTCATTGAGCCAACAGATTTCGCCAAATGGGAGACGCCCATTGTCACACCCCTCAAAAAAGACGGTAGCCTGAGAATTTGCTCGGACTACAAGACCACAATTAATAAGTTTTTACAAGTTAGCGCTTACCCAGTGCCCGTCATTCAGCATTTATTACACACTTTTGAACCTGGCAGCATTTTTGCCAAATTGGACATGTCTCAAGCGTATCAACAGTTCCCTGTTGACAGCCAAACAGCGGAACTCCAGACCATTGTCACCCACAGGGGTGCTTTCCGGTGCAAGCGTCTCCAATTTGGCGTAAGTGTTGCCCCAGGCATTTTTCAATCCCTCATGGAGCGGATTTTGCAGGGCCTCCCTGGTGTAGTACCCTACTTCGACGACATCTTAGTCTTGGCCAGGGACAGACCCCAACTCTTCCAGAGAGTTCGAGCAGTGTTAGAGAGGTTCAGACAGCATGGCCTCAAATTAAAAAAAGAAAAATGTGCCATTGCCACTAGACAGGTGGACTTTCTGGGTTATAAAATTGACGCCTCAGGCATTCACCCCCTGGAGTCCAAGGTTAAGGCAATTCACGAGGCACCCACTCCAACCTCCAAAACTGAACTGCAGGCCTTCTTGGGGCTATTGAACTTTTACGCGTCCTTCCTGCCCCATAAAGCATCAGTGGCAGAACCCCTGCACAGACTGTTGGATAAAAAATCACCTTGGCACTGGGGTCACAAAGAAGACTCCGCTTTTCGCGCCGTCAAATCACTACTCACGTCAGAGGCGGTCCTTATTCAGTTCGACCCCAACCTTCCATTAGTGCTAGCAGCAGACGCATCCCCTTTTGGAATTGGGGCAGTATTAAGCCATAGGCTCCCCAATGGCTCCGAGGCTCCCATCGCTTTTTTCTCCAGGACGCTCTCTGCAACAGAGCGCAATTATAGCCAGATCGATAAGGAAGCTCTAGCAGCTGTTGCAGCAGTGAAGAAATTTCACGAATTTCTCTTTGGCCACTTTTTCGAGCTGGTCACGGATCATAAGCCTCTCCTGGGTCTACTAGCTGGGGACAAACAGACCCCTCAAGTCCTTTCTCCTAGAATGACGAGATGGACCCTTTTCCTAGCGGCATACTCGTATAGACTCATACACCGCCCAGGTAAAACATTGTCCCACGCAGACGCTCTCAGCCGCTGCCCCTTGCCGGCTCCAGCTGAAGACCCTGCTCCGGTCCACGCTATCTTTGAGGTCACCCAATTGGACCTCCCCATCACTGCCCTTGACATTGCGGCCAAATCCAAGACTGACACAACGATCGCCCAGGTACTGGACTGGGTGAGGAGGGGGTGGCCGGGCGGTGATGTTGAAAACAAATTTACACCTTTCAAGACCCGACTGCAGGAATTATCCAGTTTGCAGGGCTGTCTGCTGTGGGGCACTCGAGTGGTCATCCCGACCTCACTGCGTACCCGAGTTCTGGAGGCGTTGCACGAGGGGCACCCTGGCATCGTCAGAATCAAGGCATTAGCACGCAGCTATGTATGGTGGCCGGGCCTCGACGAGGACATCATCAGATGGGTAAGCTCCTGCAATCCCTGCCAGGAATCCCGTCCAGCTCCTCCTATTGCCACCCCTACTAAGTGGGAAAGCGCCAGCGCTCCGTGGTCCAGAATTCACATCGACCTAGCCGGCCCATTGCACGGGAAAATGTTCCTAGTGGTCGTGGACTCCTACTCTAAATGGATTGACGTGGCACAACTATCCACGACCACCACACTAGCGATTACCAAGGTATTAACTCGCCTGTTTGTAACACACGGGCTGCCTGACTCCATTGTTTCCGACAATGGCCCACAGTTCGCATCAGCCGAGTTCAGCCGTTTCGCTGCCAACCTGGGCATCCGCCACATCTTCACGGCCCCATTTCATCCTGCCAGTAACGGATTGGCTGAAAGAGCCATTAGGACCACTAAAGAAGCCCTAGCTAGGTTCAGCAAGGATGACTGGCACCACAAACTCTCGCGTTTCCTGATGAGCCAGCACTCAACTCCGTGCTCAGTCACTAATAAGTCCCCAGCTGAGCTCCTGATGGGCAGGTGCCTGAGGACTGTATTGGACAGACTTCACCCACATTACTGCCCTGACTCTCCCCTCGCTTCCACATCGGGGGTTAGACATTTTATCTTACAGGAACCCGTATTCGCGAGGAACTTCGCTGGAGACCCTCTGTGGATCCCGGGTGAGATCGTGGCCATCACTGGACCCAGGTCATATCAAGTCAGACTGGAGGACGGCCGAATATGGAGAAGGCACCTGGACCAGCTGCGAAGGCGTCACAGCACCCTCGTCAGCAGTGACTCAGAATTACAAACCGGGGCGAGGCCTCAGCATCAACCCCACATCAGCACCAATCCCGGTGACCTGCTTACACCAGCAGCCGATCCAGGGAACACGAACACGGACAGCGACATCCAGATGGCTGACCAGTCCGAACCAGTCAATGGGAGCACGTCCCCAGTGACCAGCCCTACGAGTCCCGAGCCAACCCGAACCGAGGGGTGCGTTAGTGACTCCCTACCGATTCTGCCTTCCCCTACAGACTCTGAACTGACAGACAACCCACCTGAGCTGCGCCATTCTGGGCGCCAGCATAAACCTCCTGCCTACCTCAAAGACTATGCGTGTTCGCATCTGGGGGGAAGGGGTGTTATGTCCCTGGAACTCTAGGAGTTCCCACTCAGGTCCGTTCACGTTGCGGGGGCGGTTTTCCCCCTCGTTCATTGGTTGGTTCTCCCCAGCAGCCAGCTATAAAAGCAGGCTGCGGGGTCCAACCAGTTGCTGATCGCTGCGAGCCAGTTCCAGGCTTGGCAAGCACGGTCAGTCCTTTATTGTTATAATAAAGTATTTGTTGCACTCATGCTCTGGTTCAGCCTCTCATTACCCAAACTTAACAGGGAGCAACACACAGGAGGTGGCTATTAGATTAATAGTAGACCTCACCTCTCCCTATGCATCCTGCTGCCTCCCCACCCATATTCTAATTCATATTGTTGTACTTTCTTTATTTATATTTATTGTTTTGTGTTTTACTAATGATTTTACATTTTAAAAATAATTTACTGTTGTAAGGCACCCTGAGAAGCCCCATAGTGAGATGGGAAGTAAAAATAACAACAACAACAACAACAACAACAATAATGTATTATTATTATTATTATTATTATTATTATTATTATTATTATTATTATTATTTGATGATATTATAAAAAGGATGATGATGCTCTAGAAAGAGTACAGAGAAGAGCAACAAAGATGATTAGGAAATTGGAGGTTAAAACATATAAAGAACCATTGCTGGAATTTGATATGTCTTGTTTAATGAAAAGAAGAACTAGATGTGACATGATAGCAGTGTTACAACATCTCAGGGGGTCAATCTATTCTCCAAATCACCACAATGCAAGACAAGAAGCAATGGATGGGAACTAATCAAGGAGAGATTCAGCCTAAAACTAAGGAGAAATTCCCTAACAGTGAGAACAATTAACCAGTGGAATAGCTTGCCTTCATAAGCTGTATGGGCTCCATAACTGGAGGCTTTTAAGAAGACACTGGACAGCCACTGGAATGGCATAAGATTTCCTGCTTGTGCACGGGAAGACTTTCAAAGTCCCTTCCAACTCTGTTATTCTGTAAATGATAAGAAATATGTTCCTGCAGAGTTGCCTTATGAAGAGAAGTTTTGCAGAAAGGAAGAAAATGCTGTGCGATTTACTTCCTTGGCAGTTAATCAGAATTAGGAAGATACAGGTGGTCCTTGATTTAGGAACCTGCCCATTATTGTTGCAAGTCATGATAGTTGTAAAACAGGTTACCCATGTGACTGACCCAATTTTATGACCTTTTTTGAGGCAGTCGTTAACCATTTTGGTTGTTAAATGAATACATTATTTACTATGCAGTCGGTTTTGCCAGAAACTAGAAGTAAATGCCCAGTTTTGGCAAAAATGTTCCAAAAATGAACTCATATTCCTGCAGGATGCTACAACATCCAGAAATGCAGGCTGATTGGTGAGCATCTGATATGCTGTGAGGATGGGGAATGCCAGCAGAACTTTGAAACCAGGTTGCCATAACTTCAAATGGTTACTAAGCAATCAGTTGTAAGTCAAGGGTTATCTGTAACCATATCCTATTTGTAAATATATATTTTTTGTGGGCAACAGATGAAAGGTACCATCTTACAATTGTATTTATGGTATTCCATAGTGGCAATAATTAATCAAAGACAGCAAAATTGTTTCAGAAATCATTTTCAGGGTCGGCCACCAAGCAAGATCAGGCTATCAACAGATAGCAGGGTTAAGTGTCAGAAAAGAATCTAAAGATCAGAAGCTGGACAAGAAAAAAATTAACTGAAGCTAATCTGTTAGCACATAATATCTCAGCCCCAATCTGTTCAAACAGTGGGGGTCTTTCTGCTCATACTTCAGGATTAGATTTGAGCTTTCTTTTTTGTATCCTTTGTGGATTCTTTTTTCTCTCTCTCACAAATCATTTCCTGTAGCAATTCATTATTTATCAATTCCAAGTGCCATTGATCTAAACTCTGACTAGTTCAGATGTTATTTTTATTGTAGTGTTAATATTAATGTTGTTTGCTCAGCTCCCACATGGCTGCGTTTTCACAGTGGTGCTAATTGCAAGATTTGAAACTAATTAGCCTTCCTTTTAAACTCCAAAATCTTTAAATCCCTGCTGCAGATTTTGAATAAAGGTTTCTAACTGTTTATTTTTTATTTTTTAAAAAATAAAAGCATCAATGATTTGGAAGCTAAAATTTCAGTACATTGTTAGCTTTTTTTTCCCCCACAATACTGTTCCTGATATAAAATCCACTGCTAAATGCTAAAAGAAATATTTGTTACAGCCAAATGATATTGTTTCCTTTCCTTGCTAAACAAGGAAATGTATGATCACATGCCACCCAACACACTTTGTGCTTGCAGAATGCTTGCTTTTCAAATCAGCTGATCTATCCAGCAGTTATTTAAGAGATATGTACTTAGCAAATGTAAGCTATCGATATCATGTGTTTGATTGTGGGCTACAACAGCTTTTTCACAGTACTGTTGAGGCATGAATGCGTACATAGCATGGATGCAAAGACTGTACTCTATCAAAAATATAAGCCTAGAGACAATCTACACTTATGTGTACCATAACTCATAGTTCCTTGTAATTTTTTTTATAGTTCCTAGTAAATACCATTTCCTATGTAAACTAATCCAACCATTATTAACTTATCAATCTTTTCCATAAATAAAACAGATGTTAATGGCTCCTCTCCAAAAGGACCGAAAATATTCTTACAACTTTATACCAATAAATAAATAGCTTTGGATTAAGATAGATTTTTTGACCTGATTAGCTGATTCTCTTCATTTGTTACTATGTTATGTTTTTCTCTTTGTTCTCATTTCAACTGCCCTTTATTTTTATGGGTTTATTTTATTGATGTGTTGTTATCTGCTCTGGATTTATCTGGTGACATATATTTATGACAATGGTTAACTTTGCATTCATTTTATTGTCACCAGTTCCCTTGAGCACATTTTTGTGCAAAGCTGGATTGAATAAATAAACAGATGGACCTTAATAGGTGTGATCTGATATAAGGCAATTTCCTGTCCCCTAAGGTGCGGAAATGTTTTATATAGCAAATTTTGTGAGGTTGGATACAGATTGGAATATTATATTTTTCTTCCCAAGATAGTTTATTGGGAGGAAGGGAGAGGGGGGAAGGAAAGAAGGAAGGAAAGAAAGAAGGAAGATCAGTAGGTGTCAAAAATATTCTTAGGTATATGTCATTCGCTCTGTGTTTGGGAAACATGATAAAACATCTTTTGAAAACCTAGGAAATATCGTCCAGGAAGATATAGGGTACATCTAATTAACTCTCCAGCAGTCATTGTGAAACATCTTCACCAAAGCCAAAACTGATAAAGAATTTAATTCTAATTTAATTTTGTCTCCTGGCCTAAGATTCTCTCTGAAAATGATGTTAATATTTTGAATGTAAAAGGTTGTTCTCTAAAAGTGTCACAGATTTTCAGCAAAAAGATATTTTCCTAATGAACTTGCTTTCTATAGCATGCCTTTCAAACGTAAAGAAATCTCCCTGTGATGACCCGGAGTGTAACACAAATGTAACAAAATCCAAAACGTAAATAAGTGTCCTTTAATGCCTTGGCCCCACTGTTCAATAATTCTCAGTTGGAGATAAAACTTATGCAAAAATAGTCTTGAAAAGTAAGTAATACAATCCAAACTTAATGAGCAGACAGAGGTGAAATAAAAAACCAAAACAAACTACAATGAAGTAATTTCCACAATGGACCAGGATAAGTAGTTACCAACTTCAAGGAGATAACTAGGCACAGTCTGTTGGAAGGACGCCAACCAAGATAACTTCAGCCCAAAATAAAACAGCTTTGCTTCTGGCAATGCTATGTTTTAACCATCTCTCTTATATATTATTCTGCCCAGCTGCAATCAATGAGGAGGATCATGGCCGTTTCCTCTTTTATAAGCCAAGTTGTTTCCTTCTCTGTTCCTCACTGCATGTCTTAGGATGAAGAGGGGATGGGCCTGGTTCTTCCTCTGACTGCCCAGCTGGCCTCTGCTTTTCACCAGCCTCCTCTACAACCTCTACAGTCACACCTCCACTCCCTGTTGGCGTTCCTCCTCTCCCCCAGAGTCCAACAAGTACAAGGGCATGACATACCTATTGGTTTTCCATTTGGCAAAAGGGATGAAAGATGCCAAGTCTTTTCTAAACCCATGTACAATTTAATAATTTTGTGAGTACAGGTAGTTCTTGACTTACAGAGGTTTATTTAGTGACCGTTTTAAGTTACAAAGCACTGAAAAAATGATTTTTTTTTCATGATTTCTATCAAAGTACCCTTCAAATCATGAATTTAATTATTTTTGTTCCATTTCTGGGCTGGAATATCCAGAATAACAAATAATTTGCACTTTATGAACCCTGCACTGATTTCCCCCATACCTCATTTCTGGTATTCCAAGTAGGAATACATTTCAGTCAG